AATGGTTTTGAAGGAGAAATTCAACTTGTAAAGAGTTGATGGGATAAATATATTCTCCCAGATAACCTGGATATTTTCCAAGTTATTTAACAGGAAGGATCTCCATACATAGAGGAAGAAGTGGTGTTGATTCCTAAAGATCTGTAGCAGTCCAATAAGATCAAGACCAAGGAATTATGATTAATTTTGGCTATCAGGTGAGGGCGTTCAGACATGACAGGGCCCTACACAGCATCTAGCCCAAGTGTCTCATTATAGAAGTGCAAAACCAGGGCAACTCAACAAAGAGAGGGAATGGCCCAAGGTCTATCACAGGGCAAAAAGGAAATCTAGTTCCTCTCAGGCCTCATCCACAAATCTACAAAGATATATGTATTCTGCACATCTTCTCAAAATAAATATTTATTTAAATATATTTGTTTGTTAGCGCCGAAGTAGAGCTTGCACACCCCATACATCCTAAATTTTATAGGGCAGACACCAAGTATCGTGGTTTCAATATTGTGTGTAAAGTAAGATTACAAAGCATGTATTACAAAGATATTACCAATGTGTTCATGGAGTAGTCACAATTTTCCTGCTCTTTTAGACAATCAACTCTTCCTATCATGATATGAGAAAACTATTAGAAAATTAATATTCCATGTTTGGCATTACAAGAAAATGAAGTACTGATATATGCTACAACAAGTAAAAGAAAAGAAAAAAAAATATTCCAGAACCAATCCAAAGGTGGTAGCGGTGCTTCATGGAATAACACTGATTCTAATCCAGCTCATGCTTTTCTCAGCGGCAAATAGAAAGATACTTGATACAAACCCAGCAAAACAGCAACTTCCTTAAAATCATTAACTACAAAGTTCTTCATCTCAAATGCCCAAATCTAGAAACACTCTTCCTTTAATTAACTCTAGTTACCTCTGCTAAACCAAAAAAATCATCTTCCATCACACTATTATCAAAGAGCCTTTAAAAGCGGTATTTGCAGAAACACAGCAGTGAGCCCAGGGGACACCATGTACTTCTAAGCATATTAAACAAACTCTGTTCCCTTGATGTGCAGAGTGTTTGGCTAAATTTGAAAGCATCCCCCATAGTGCAAGTGTGTTCTGCTGGCCCCAAAGATGCTCTAGGATGAAGAGGGCCTTTTTGATTTCCCCAGAGCGGACCACAGAGCACAATATCGGCCTGCTTGAGGTTACTGTGG